GGATAACGGAGAGGGATATTAAGGTATGGACTATTTAACACAAAAGTAGCGTATTTGCATTTTAAAATAACTCATATTTTTGTAGACCAATTTCCCCTATCATGTGGTCAACAGCAGGCCGGTCGACTTTAATTTCAGGACCTTTACTTGGTACCCAGTTGGGTTGACCTTGGGTGGCAAAGTAATTTTCTGAGGGGGAAAAAAAAAAAGAACAACAAAATCCGACTCCATGTCGATTAGAACCAAAAACCTTCGAGCTGGCATGCAAGCGTCTAGCCGATTCACCACAATGGCTCCAACATTTAGGCAAGCATAGTTGGAAAAATGAATTTTTAAAAAGACATTAGTTGCTGAGAGTTCGATATAAAAGCCAGCGTGTGTTTGCTCCAGAAAATATTTAAAAATATTTCTTCAGTGCAAGGACAGTTTCGTTTTCAAACCTGTCGCTCGCACAGTAGATTTCTCAAACTTTAAACTCTGCCTATCCACACAGAACTTCACTTCATTACTTTCTTTCAAATGCTCCTGCACAAGATTCAGAACATGTCCAACCAACTGGATGTTAGTAGATCGTTTGTGTGAACCTCTAATGGGATGTTGATAGACATTGTGGTGTAGCGGCTAGACGCGAGCCTGCGGATCGGCAGTCGTGGGTTCCAGTTCTGACAGAACCGGGCTTTTTTAATTCAAAGATGACCTTGGCTCCGAGGTTGACACAGCCTTCGATGAGTAAAAGGTGCAGCCCTGGAAAGTAAAGACGGCCGGCGTGATGCTGACCATATCACCCACAAAATACCGATTGTTTAATAAAATATAGGTCAAGTCCTATTTACTAAATACGCTTGAAGGTGTGGAAAAGGATCTTAATGGGTATTCACAATTCGGGTCTCAAACCAGTCTCCTCCATTTTAATAGTTATGACCACAAAGCGAATTCGACATCGCAGCTAGTGCCATATAGTTTAGCTAAGGTGATAAAAACCAGTCGCCTCATTGGAGCTATGGCTGTGTTCATTGTTTTGGTGGTAGGTCTTGCAAGAATCAGTATTTAGCATATATATATATATATATATATATATATATATATATATATATATATATATATATATATATATATATATATATTGCGGAAACAGCTGCACTCTCAGCCTGAAAATCATAGTCCGAGAATAAACCCATATCCTTCAGAGCGGCCAGCAAAAGGCTTTGCCACGTAACCATTGAGACCCTCAAATGAGAACAATGAGTAGTAGAAATGGTTAACCAGTTCACTTTGATTACTGTGATTTGTTGATAGAGGAAGGCAGCTCCGTGGTCTCAATAAATGAAATCTGCGTCGAGTGCTGGGAGTCTCATGTTCAAGCCCCAATGAAGGCTAAGATTTTTTTTCACGTGGCCTTCTATGAATTTCTCCTGGTCTCTGGGTAGTAGGATTAGAAGAAGAAGAAGAAAAAAAAAAAAAAAAAAAAAAAAGAAGAAGAAGAAGAAAGAAAAAGAAGAGAAACGAAAAAATAGAAAAAAAAGAAGATGATGATGATGCAGAAGGAGGAGGAGGAGGAAAAGAAGAAGAAGAAGAAGAAGAAGAAGAAGAAGAAGAAGAAGAAGAAGAAGAAGAAGAAGAAGAAGAAGAAGAAGAAGAAGAAGAAGAAGAAGAAGAAGAAGAAGAAGAAGAAGAAGAAGAAGAAGAAGAAGAAGAAGAAGAAGAAAGAAGAAGAAGAAGAAAGAAGAAGAAGAAGAAGAAGAAGAAGAAGAAGAAGAAGAAGAAGAAGAAAGAAGAAGAAGAAGAAGAAGAAGAAGAAGAAGAAGAAGAAGAAGAAGAAGAAAAAGAAGAAGAAGAAGAAGAAGAAGAAGAAGAAGAAGAAGAAGAAGAAGAAGAAGAAGAAGAAGAAGAAGAAGAAGAAGAAGAAGAAGAAGAAGAAGAAGAAGAAGAAGAAGAAGAAGAAGAAGAAGAAGAAGGAAAAGAAGAAGAAGGAGGAGAAGGATAAGAAGAAACTTGTTATATTATTGGATTTAAAAAAATAAAACCTATTATAAAATATACTTCCTTAAAATGGAAATATAGAGGCTCGGGAAGTGCACATAAATAATTCTGTCTCTACCCCACGTCACATATATTACAGAATTATACGAGTTGTATAGCGATAAAAAGGATTACCAATTGGCTGTTTTTCAGCCTATCGGCAAGCATAATCCTCGTAAGGGAATTCTCTCTCACACTGTGTTGCCGATTCAGTTTTATTGTGATAGATTTATACAACTAAATTATGAGGACATACAAATGTGTTGGGTACATCAGATAAAACAGAGCATGCCTACATTTTAACTTTACATCGTAGTTTCGTTGAAGGAGGTCAAGAACAAGATACCGAACAGTTTGGCATCATGGCATAAAAAACAGTATTTTGTTTAAAAGGATTAACAGCCCGACAGAGACAGAGACATAGACAGAGTGAGAGACAGAGAGAGACACAGAGAGAGCAAGATAACAGTAAAGATAAGCATGATGACTAACGCCACATAATGTGGACTACAGAACGACTTAGTTAATTAATCACTGCAAAATTTCACTGTGAATGGAGTTATCTTCATCTTTGTCCCAGATGATACAGGTGTTTATGGCATTGAAAAAGCTGACAGATTGGCCAGCTCTACATTAGTAGCAGAGGCCCTCCTAAGGATCGCGCTGAAATGTTATTGCCCTTAGATATAGGACGACTGGAGGATTGTTTAGGGGCAGCCTTGCGCATCGCTGCTAAGAATGCGAACCTCGGGCGAACATGGGGCGTAAAGATCGGCACATCCAGGCATAGGAGACATACCGGATGTAAACGAGGTCTTATCAGCCAACAAAGGACTGGCACTATTTACCTAGAGACGGTTATGTGGATGTTGAATGTGGAATCTGAGCACCTGTGGACGTGTCCAGAGTACCGTGAAGATAACCAAAGTGATAACTCATAACTCATCGTGATAGGTCTCTGTTACCTATTTTCTGGCTACAAAGCTGGTGTGAAAAACATGAATACGTTGAAAATGTAATTCGGCTTTACCTGTTTAATAGTTAATTAAAATGTATGATGTCTAATAAGTTAAGATGTGTGAAAATTCATAAACTAAGAAATTATTGGAAGTGAAACTCAAATTTTCATGTTCTAAAGAAACTTCTTATGAAACGGTAAAAAATCAGACAATAGAAACAAAACAGACCCATTTCAGTCAAGATACATTAAACTATTTCTTGAACATTCTCTTTTCGAGCAGTTCACTTTCTAAATAAACTTTTAGGAAAAAAAAAAAAAAAAACGTATCGGTTTCCAATCAGAATCTCGATTCATGAACAATCAATCCGGAAAGTGCCTACTTGGGGAGATGAGATTGTGGAGAAAGAGCAGCTTGAGCTCAGAACAGAAATCTCTCGAATGATCATTGTATTTTTAATGATTTTCTTTGACCATGTTCTTGCTCATTATAGTGAAGATGATGGAGAATTTTTTTCTAACACAGTAAAGCTCTTGCCCCCTAACCAAACTCTAAAAGAGAAGTTATGCCAGCATTTCAGTGCGAACTGTTTAAACTACACTAAAGTACTGGTTTAAATGTGTTTTGTAGCGACCTCTGCCAAAAAAATGAACACTTAGAAAATGCTAAATAATCCCTGAAATCTTCCCTGTTTAAGCATCATAGACAATGATTACAACTGGAGTAGGCAGTGTTGCTATGGAAACGAGTGTAAGATTAAAGAATGGGCCTTATCGTAATTTTGGCTCTAATCTAATGTCACATCAGTGCTGCTGTATGGAGGGTAAACAGCTTAAACAATCACTAATAAACTACAAACATTCGTTAACTGCGCATAATAGAGAGAAATAAGTGGTATGATAAGAGTTACTAATGTTGAGCTAAGGGGGCTGCGTGGTCTGGAGACATGGTATCCGCCTCGAGTGCTACAGGTTCTGGGTTCAACTCTCGTTAAGGGATTAAATATTTTTTTCCGTTGACTTAAACTTCTGGTAATTCCCCTGGTCTCAGAGTAGTGAGATCGGACGACCGTGTGCTTTGTAGTGCCCGTAATAAATCCCCTCGCAGTTGGAAATAGAAAAAAAAAGTAGCCTAACGGCGCTGCCCGGGCAAAATCTGAGAACAATATAATTTGAATGTATTTGCACTGGAATCCACAACTTCCCCAGCCTTTAAAAAATATCCATAACCCCTATGCAAACAATAGTAAACTATCTCAATATTATCTCATCACTGACTATATGGCCCCTTGAAAATAATGGTTTCAAACACAGTGTGTTTCCTCTCTAGATTTATTACACCTACTTTACTTGGTATTATTACTGTTGAAAATGTTGGTAAATTAACAAAAATTGTGATTAGGAATTATATGTTAATTAATTATTATGTATGAATGGAATAATGTACGAATATAAGTAGTGAGGCCAAAAGGGCAAACATGTAAGACGGGTCTGCGTGTCCAGTTCTTTACCCTTTGAAAAATAAAGATCGTTTGTTTGTTCGTTCCCAGAAACTCCATGCAATCCACTTTCTAAGGGCGAAGGTAGAAGATGAAGACTTCTGCTACACATTACTTTATCCACACATCTGTCAAGAAAGCTATTGAAAGAAAATTTATATTGGTCGCCATACGGAAGTTACAAATAGCTAAAAGCTGCTGTTCTACTACAAAAATAAAAATAAAGACTGCATTTCAGCGGTTCTCAACCTATGGGTCGCAACCTTATCTGGGTAGAATGACCCAGGTACTTCTGTATATAGGTCCTTCTAACTAAATAGATAAGGGCGTGAATGACCCTTTTACAGGGGTTGCCAAAAACAATTGCAAAACAAGTATTCATCGAAGTTATGAAGTAGCGACGAAAATAATCGTATGGTTGGGGGTCGTCACAACATGAGCGACTGTATTAAAGGGTCGCGGCAGTAGGAAGATTAATAAACACTGCTATGTAGTTTCCTAAAAAAAAAAGTAAACTTACTCACCACAAACATGACGAGACCGTTGCCGATCGCTCCAAACGTGATGAGAAAGGCAAAAAACAGGACTAAAACAGCCTCAGTGACAGGATCAAACTGGCGCTCTTGTACTTCTTTCTGGATGATCAGCCGCACCCAATCGCTGTGCAAAGAGTGGTTGAAATTGTTGTTGCTGTTTCTGTTGTTACTGTCAACATCTTCAAACGAGATATTCATCTCCATGAATTCCAAGTCCGCCATATTGATACAATGTCTTAGGTTTGATATCAGTTAAAAGAAATGCAGGGACGTTGACCAGTCATAGTTACGAGAGAAACCTATCACAAGATTAACGCTCCTGGCATCAGACGGGATAGAGGCCATGTGATACTATCTTTTCCACAATGTCATTTGTCAACTCAGTTATTCTCCAATGTTAAACTCTAAAGGAAGAAAATAATGAAACAAAATTGAAGAATAATCATGACAAGGACATGGGATGAGCATCAGATGGTAAGAATATGAAGTCTTGGCGCAAAGTGGGTTCAGGATCCATCATCAATTTATTGTAAAAGGGTTAAAAATCAGAGGGAAGCCGCCGTGGTGTAGCGGCTAGACTCTCGCCTGTGGATCCAGAGGTCGCTGGTTCAGGTTCTGACAGAGCCGGAATTTGTCTCCTTAAAACGGTACCAGGTAAAGTATTTGGAAGTAAAGGCGGCCGGCGTGATGTTGACCAAATTATCCACCGAGTGCCGATTGGTCTACAAAATATAGATCTAGCATACATGCCAAATAAGCCTAAAGGTGTGGAAACGTGACCTTTAATTGTTTTTGTTTTTGTTTTGACGCAGAGATGCCGTCCAGCGACACAAATGTAAACTAGAGTTTCGAATTAACTCTCTTAACAATGGCATCAATAGGATACGCTGATGTGGAGTCGTACACCTATTTGGGCAGTAGTTTAGATAAAGATAGGGGAACTTATAGAGATTTATAAATAAGATTACACAAGAAAAGAGGAGCTTTCATAGAACTAGGAAATTTGTGGAGGACAAAAGGAATTAAAAGAAATTCTCAACTGAATTTTGTTAATTCTAATACCAAATCAGTACTTTTGTAGGGGCGGAAACATGGAGAACAACTAAATCAATTACTAATAAACTGCAAACGTTCTTTAATTGGTGCCTGCGCAAAAAAAAGGGAATCAAATGGTATGATAGAATAACTAATGTAAGAGCTTTGGGAGAGAACTAAGCAAGCTTCAGTGGACCAAGAGGTGAAGAAAAGACGCTGGCGTTGGATAGGACACATATTGAGAAAACAGGAGAACAATATAACTAGAATGTCTTTACATTGGAATCCACAGGGGCATATGAATAAAGGAAGGCCAAAAAACACATAGAGAAGGGAGCTGGAGAATGAAGTTGGAAAGATTGGAAGGACATGGAGAGCGTTTTGAGTTAAAGTTTGTGAGTTATGAGTTAGATTATCTTCACAGCACTCCGGACACACCTATAGGCGCTCAGATTTCCCTCTCAACATATTCACCAGCGTAGCGCGGTTAGTAGTATTAGTCCTATGTTTGTTAACATGATTCGTGTGCATTCGGTGGGCTTCTCATGCTTGGCTGTGCCGATCTTTACTCTCAATTCTCGTAATCTTAGCAGTGATGTGGATAAGTTGCTTCCAAAATCCTCAGCACGTTCTATCGCTCTATATGCAATGACAATGTCTGCATGATTCATGGGCCGGCCATCTTCAATTAATGCAGCACCTGCCAGTCTATCAGCTCTTTCATTACCAACAAAGCCTGCATCCCTGGGACGAATATGAAGGTAACTGCACACACAGGAGAGTTTTGCAATGACTCAAACCACTGTCTGCGTAACCAGCCTGCCTTGACCCGCCGAATCATGCTCAAAGAATCACTCAGCACACACACGCGGGAATAGTCCTGTGATTCTAGCAACATGAAAGCTTGTGTCACTGCCATCACCTCTATCGTCATGCTGCTGGAAGTCATGGAGAACTGGCTTCTGGAACTGTTCTGCCTGAAGAGCGACCTGTAAATGCCCATGCACTCTTATGTCCTCGAATAATAGACCCGTCTGTGAAGATCACATCTGTCTCATCTGACTTGTCAATTATACGTGTGCATACCTCGCCATTGACAGCAGCTGAATTCTGCTCCTGACAACTTCTATCGAGAGTCACGACACAGGAAAATGTGAGATTATACGCTTTAGACGCTGGTATCCACTCCTCATCTGGATGGATATATGTAAGGCTGCAAATCTGCATCTTGTCGTCCTGTGTCCAACCCAGCAATGATTTGCCCCTTTTAAGCCTATTGCCCGTTTTCTTCAAGGGCATGTGGTGCAAAGGGTGCTTTAGATCTGAGCTTATCTTAAAGTATACACGAACCCTCCAGGTCTTGATCCTGTTGTTCATGGTAGGTAAGTCAAGAAGTTACCCCACTTCCACACAAGAGGTTTATCCAGTGCACCCCAGAATAATGCGCATCGTTTTGTCTCAAGTATTTCAGTCTATGGCTGACGGTGAGAATGGCTAGAGCATAATTGATGGGAGAAAGTACAAGTACCTGGAACAGAAGCAGAAGCAGTCTCTGCCCTTTATTAGCGACGGCCATGACCCTCATTGTTGTCAGGCCTTTGCGTACTTTTGTTATAACACAGTCAACATGTTCTTTGAAGGACAGGCTGCGATCAAACCTCACTCCGAGGAATGTCTTCAGATATGTTCTCGTCCAAATTTCCTCGCTACTTTCCACTGCTGGTCAGTCTGCCTTTACTATATGCGTGTTCAAGGAGAACCACGCTACTGAGGCCTTTATAGGGCTAACAGGAGCAGTAGAATCTGCCCAAAAGGAGGAGATGCGATGGGGAGAGCTGCACGCGACAGCAAAGAACAGAACGGCTTGGCGTGAGTTGTTTGAGGGTCTTTGCTCCATTGGAGGCTAGAAAGGCAGAATAAGAGGAAGATTTTATAATTTTAACCTTTTAAACATTGTCGTTTCTCAGATACCTGCTGGTAAGGATAGAACTAATAGGTGTCAGATGGTTATGGTCTACCGTCCACTGGGCAATAAAGTGCAGAATTCTGTATAATCTGTTTAAGATGAGTAAGACATAGTGTTAATGTAAAGGGATTAGGAATAAACGAAGCCTAAGTTAGAATACAGACTTGCCATAGTCAATATCTGTGGCTTAGGCGTTGCGGACGCGCTTCGTAATACCAGGATGACGGGTTCGATCCCAGCTGCCGACTGTTTGTCTTGCTTTGGTTTCGACAGTGTTACCGAGAGCAAACCGTTTAGTATCATGGTATACTACTGAACGTAAAATCTGCCTAGAAAAACCACAACAGCCCAAAAATGCTGGTGTTGGTTTTGCAACGTCATGAAAAGGATACGCAACTGATTTTTAACTTTTCAATATGGTGGTCATAGGTTCAGTTAACTGCTTAGTAAAGTTTCACTGCAGTTGACACACGGCTGTGTTTGGAACGCAATGGTACCTGCGGTCACACAGTTCGCGACTGGTAACAATTGTCCCCATTAAAATTACTGCAAATCCAATTAATTCGTGCGACCGCCCTAGATTTGTTAGTTTTTGTCGGAAGGGGGAGGGGGGGGGGGCGGGCGGCGGTTGCGTGGTCTCGAGGTATGGTGCCCGCCATGAGTACTAGAGGTCCTAGGTTCGGGCCACGGTGAAGTCTGAAATTTTTTCACCTGGAAGGACTCCTTGTAATTTTCCATGGTCTCTGGGTAGTGAGTTTGGACGCCCTTATGTATTGTTGCGTACGTAAAAAATTCTCATTTTAGGCTAGGTCGATCTGCGACACCCCATACCATGATAAAATTCTCTTGGCAGTTGAAAGTCGAAAAGAGTAGCCTAACGGCGCTACCCGGCAACATTTGGAGTTACAAATCCACCCAAAACATTTCAGGATCCTCACCGGTGCTACGGAGCCCGTGCACTGCGCTGAGAACTTCAGACTCAGACTTGAGTTAGGAGTACAACGGAGCACTTATGGGTTTCTACCCGTGTGCCATGATGTTGATTCGTTGCTAAAACCTCAAACCTTTGTCGTTGATTGTTGCTAATGCATGTAGACGACAGAGTAGAAACGGGAGGAGGAAGACTACTCATTCGAAGAAGAGTCCAAGTTCCTCATATCGTCGGGCAACTGTTTACGTATGTCTGGTGTATTTGTCTCTTGTTTGTATCCTGGGAAGTGTTTAGATTACTTACTCAGTGTCTGGTGTTTTCACAAGATAACGATCAAGATACATTTGACCTTTGTTTTTTCTCTGCTGGATAATTTCCGGAAATAGGAGATCACGTTGTCATTCAAAAGGTCCACTGCTTCTGATGGCCACCGTATTGTTAAAACGAGGCTTCTCAAAACAAAAACAAAACTAACACTTCAAGCCACTTGCTTCAGATTTCTTTGATCTTAGAACTTGAAACATGTACTCCCCGTGTGAGTTACGGGGTCCTGTTATAGGGAAAACAAGAAAAGACCCACTGCCTACCCAAAAGCATGGCGTAACAGAAAGACTAATTGGGAGCTTCCTTCAAAGTCGGATTGGATCTGCCTGAGAGGCAAGGAACCAGCAGTCTGCATACAGATGAGTCAGATCTATAAAACTGATGCACACGCACCACTCAGGTTCTGGAACAGGACTGCAGTCCAGATGTGGATGAACAACCAAAACTTTCCGCCAGAGTTTACAGCTGGTGAACGGGAAGAAGAAGAAACATGTACCACCTCTTCCTCCTCCTCTCCAAAGTGCTCGTCCTGCAAACCTGAGTAAACTGACGCTGTTAGCTAGCCGAAAACATGGCACCAAAGCTATATTTTTGTCTTCGAGCGCTGAGTGAAGGTTAGCGGGTCGAGTCAAAATTTGTTGGAAAATGTGTTTGAGAGCCGATTTGTTCGTAACTAGAAGCGTTCGTTACCGGAGGTAGTACTGTATTTAGGAATGCTAATGTTTAAAAAATAAATGCATCGTCCAGCACGAAAAGAGAACTATAGTACTCGAGGATCATGACAATTGTTAAACGTATTCATTAACCTCTAAGACAAAGAGTTCAGTGTAAAATGCGAATAAAAATATAATGGAAAGTAAAATACATCGCCAGTGTCATTTAGACTGGAAAGCAAAGATCAATGAAAAAAAAATATTGCCTAAATGGGGATTTGAACCTAAGAGAAAAGCGTCCTAACCCATGCTC